TTTTGGGGCAGGAAGAAGCCAATGGACGTGTGTGACTAACGCGGCGGTGCCGTAGAGCCGCTCTGCTCATGAGGATCCCCAGTTGTCACCGTCCTCGATGGCTGGAGGAGCTGCTTGGATGAGTGCGCTGGTCACTGCTGGGGTCACTCCTCGTTCAGTCCTCGCAAAAAAAGGCATCACAATCAGTATCCTCCACCCTTCCCTTGCGTTTATAGTTTCCTCTTTCTCCTTGGGTTAGTAACTCGGCTTTTTAGTGCAAGAACGTGTGGAGCGTCTCCCGCTGCAGCCGTTGGCATCCCTTGAGCCGCGGGAACCACGCGAGTTCTCCAGTTGAGCTTCTTCCGAGTTCCGTGTTGCCCGAGCGTTGCATCAAGTGTTTTATGGTTGCAGCCTTAGCCAGAAGGGACTGAGAAACAGAAGATGAGCTATTCCCAATGGAGCCCTTATGGAACCGGCTCCTCCCGTGACCGAGGCGGAGCAGTGGGACAAGCGTCGGTGCCGGGGCTGCAGCCGCAGGAGGCAGCGCGGGAAGTGATCCGTGTTGTGATCCCGAGCTATGTCCACGCCGCGGCAGCGCGCTCGGTACTGCCACGTTTCGCTCCTGTCAGCGCCCGGCCACCGTTGTGAACAACCCTGTGTGTCCCTGCGCCGTGTCCCCACGTGTGTCCCCGCGCCGTGTCCCCACGCCGTGTCCCCACGCGTCCCCTCTCACCGGCTGCTGGACGGGCTCGGTGTGACCGCACTTAGCACGGGCCCGGTGCTCATCCAGACCTAGGAAACGTCAGTTAACCCGGAACCGCCCTCCGCACGGCACCGGTGCTCGCAGCCCTCCCCGGCCCCGCGGGATCCCCGCAGCCTCCGAGGTCCTTCCTGCCCAGGAGACACCCGAGCACCGGCAGCCCCGGCTCGCTCTGCCGCGCGGCTATAGGCACAAATCAGGCAAACCGAAGCTCTTGCGTTGCGAACGGGTCGCAGCGCGCCGACCCGCGGGGCGGTGTTTGGAGCAGCCTTCCAAATAGCCTCTTGCTTTAACGGGCATGGGGGGTCAGCTTCAAAACGCGCCGAAATAATCTCCGCATATACTAATGCGTTCCTAGGTCTGCTTCTCTGGCCTGGCAAGAGTATTTGTTGAATAAATTTGCCATAAAAGTTTTATAAACCATTATTTTATTATAAACAAATGCTGCAGAACCTGGAGTCTCTCAGAGCTGCAGCTGCTCAAACCTGTGGCAAAATGGCATTTCTCTCCCCTAGTTATCAATACTGTTTGGTGAAGGCTAAAATTTTTATCTTTCCCCTGCTTTGTAATTTAATTCTTTTGACCTTTTTTTCTGCATTTGCAAGGATAAAAGTGAAGAGCTTGCTTTTTTCCTCACACAGCATTAGTTTTAGTCTGATCATTTGTAGTGAATGCCAAATTTCTTTGTCGGGCGCACAGAATGCACTCAATTTTGAAGCAGAAATTTGGTGCTCAAAGGGAAACAATTATACTAAATTTATGTGTTTCTTTTTGATATTTACAGTTAAGTATCTCGAGCCTTAATGGGCTCCATTTACCTACATTTTTAGCTTTTCTGTAGCTGCTGATGGCCTGTAGTTGCCAGGCCCATTTGCTTCCTATAAAAAAGAAATCTCTTTCATAAAGTGGGAATAAAAACAAAGAAAAAGACGTGTTTGAGTATCAAACTGCCTCGATCCTTGCACACTTAAGGCTGTACAGTTGGTTGAAAGTTTTAACAAGAGCCATCTCCTTTGTGAAGAATGCAGATAACTTTTTTTGGTGGTGGGGGGGCCGAGTAACCTGATATGAGCCTGACAGTGTCGTTTAGTTAAGTGCTTCCATCTGTTGCCTGCTATTTCCCTTACTCATGACCTCTCCTTCTCTCCCCTCCTTCTCCGCAGCCCCGCTGAGGAAAGCGAAGTTTGTGGAGAGCCCTCGGATCCCCGAGTCGGAGCTCGGCTCCCCGACGCTCTCGGCGGCGCCCAAGCTGGACGTCGATGCCTACGGTCCCGGTAAGCGCGCGGGGACGGGCGGCACCTTCCCCTTTTACTGCCGGGGGCGTTGGAGGTAGGTGCTCCTGCCACCCGCGAGCCCCTTCCCGCTGCTGCTCGCCGTCCTGCGCGGGCTCCAGGGCGGAGCGGGGCCGCTCTCCCTGCAGAGCCGTTCCGGAGACGCGGAGGCAGCGCGGAGCAGATGGGAGCTCCAGGGAGAATCCCCCTCCAAACCTGATCCCGAGTGGGATGCTGGAACAAACAGACGTTTCAGAAATGTGAAGTCAACTGATACGAAACGATATGATCTGGTATACCTGCAGCTAAGAATACGTTTTATAGATATGTACGTGTGTTAATAGGCTGCAGTTTGTGTTCTATAACAATTCCTCTGAAGATCATGCATCTTGCGAGGGGCCTCTGGCTGAAGCAGCAGCAGCAGCAGCGGGTCGTGGCTCTCCCCGTTACCCCTCCGCGTGGCTGGTGCACGGGCAGGCGGCTGCGCAGGCCCCTCCGCGCGCAGGCCGCCCTCGTGCAGATGTGTGAATTCCTCTGGAGCTTTAGATAGCCGAGACCTCCCTGTCGTTTCCCAGATCCTTCCGAACTCGGCGGAGTTGCCTGGCAACGCGGGGAAGGCTGGGAAGCGGTGCCGGAGGTGCTCCGCTTGGAGCAGGAGCTCGCTTAAAGCAGCAGGAAGCAGCGCTCGAAATTCGGGCCAAATTCTGCCCTTTCCGCCTCTGGCTCACGCCTGTTTCCAAATCAAAGGAGCCCCCAGTCCACGTGGGCCTTTCATGGAATTAAAGGAGCCAAATGCACGTGAGCATGCAAAATCTTGCTCTTAAAAACACAGCTTCCTCGTTGCACTGCCCTGGTCCCTCCCGGCTTCCCGACGCTCGGAGCTGCAGGACACAAATTTCCTCTCGTTGCGGGAGGCCGTTTCCTGAGCAGCCGCTGTTCCCGCTTCCCAATGGACGGGCCCGTCTCGCTGTCCCGGGAATGGGTGGTTCTGCCGTGTTGCAGGGTGAATCAGTGCACGAGCTGATACCTCCTCGATCCTTTGATTTAGAGAAGGAAGAAGCATAAGGGAGTGGCTGGAATCTTGGAGGGGAGGCTGGAGTAGGTAGGACGTAGCAAAGATAGGAGCTGGTTATAAAAATACTTTAGGAGCTGTGTTCTTTGTGCTGAAGCAAGCAATGGAATTGAGATGAATTTAGCCTATTTAATGCAAAAGCAGAGAGGGTCCTGGGCACTTGGGCTTTGCTGTTTGTCACTGGGGCATTTTCCTTGAAATTGCTTTTCATTTTGCACATGGCGTCTACCATGTGCCCGTGTTTTCACTCAAAACCGCTCAGGAAATCTCTTGGCAAGAGCCCGAGATGGATGGGGCTTTCAGGTAATTGCCTTTTGCGTTAGATCGGCGGGGCTGCCGCGTTGTGTGTGATTTATTGCCTCACCATTAGCTTTCAAAGGCCAACGACGTTATAACATTATCTTTTAATTTGATTAAACTCTTCTTGAGAAATTCTGGGACACAAATCTTCGTGTCTGGCCAAGGGCCGGTTGGTAATTGCGTTACCGGAGCCGCTGGGCCCAGCGAGAGGTGATCTGGCTCCGTGTGCCCCCTTGCTCCGGGTCCTCCTGCTTTGCTGCAGGGAGCACCAGGGTCGACGTCCTCCTGCTTCTGCTTTTCTTTCTGGTGTGTAAAATTAGACGTTTTTCATATTACGCAAACAATGGGCTTTTCTTCTTAAATAAACACAACGAGACTGGCCCGAGTGGTAGAAAAAGCCCGTTAAGAAGCATTATGACACACACGGAATGCCTGTGCTCATTTTGCATGGGGAAAATAAAGGCAATAGGCCAGCAAATAACCCCCAAGTGAAAGGCAGGCCTTGTCCGCACCGCTCGAGCGCGCCGGGCTGGTTGGAAGCAAGGGCAGAGCCCGGCAGGCCGTGGCTCTGCGGATCCGCTGCTCGTCCCGTCGTCCCCGGAGCCGCTGGATTCCACCACGTGTAGGGTGGTAGAAACGCTGGAAGCTGCTGTAGCGTTTCGTCCGCGTGTCCGTGAACGGCCCGTGGGCACGGCAGGGATAACAGGCTTTGGTGCACGGTGCAGCTTTGGGAAACGGGGCCGGCTGCACCAGCCGAGGCTTCGAACCTTTGGGTGAAACGGGAGAGGTTTGGGAAGAGAACCGGCCCTAAGCTGAGATCCAGGTACCGCTGCCATGGGTTGCACTGCTGAACGGGTTCAGGTACCGCCGTATCCTCGAAGCTCCCAGCAGCTCCTGGCCAGGGTTTAGGCTTCGTCTATCCACAGCTGGGCAGCTCGTCATGTAAACACATTCTGGGTGCCTCGGAGGCTTTTTAATTCCTTTATTTTGTTAATGTTGTCGCTAGTGCCAAAGCACGTTAGCTAGAAGGCCCTTGAAGAGCTGTTCACACAGCAGGTGTTTCAGCTAGACACCTCCTTGTATCTTCACTCCTTTTGGTGCCGTTCTTGCTGGATCTTGGGAGCGCAACACGTGTCCTGCCCTGTCAAGCGGCACTGCTTGCTCACACTTTGTCCATTGGGAATCGTTTTTGGGGTTTTTTTTCTTTGTTTTTGATGCTGATATTTTGCCTTATTGAATATTTTTATCTTTCTGCCTTGCCCATAAGTAAATATGCGCCCAAGCAAAGCAGCCCTGTGGATTTGGACATCCTCGGGCTGGCCCATCCTCTCCCTTTCGGTCTTGGCTGTCCGCCGTCTCCGCCTGCTGAAACCCCCAGCCCTCCCTGGAGCTCATTCTTCTTCCCTCAGGGTCTCGTTTTATTGCTGACCTAACCGGTCAATGCATCGCTTGAACTTTTAGCAGGATGCTCTTCACCTCTTGCTAAAGACCCTTTTTTTGCTGGTGTCTTCAGAGAGCGTCACAGGAGCAACTGCTCTGCAGTCTCCTCAGCCTCATAATGCCAAATAAAGGTATAAATTCTAGCCAAAATTAAATCACCATTCCCCTGATGTCCTTCCATAATCTGCATGGTGGGAGAGGGGGGAAATACATTGAACTACTCTCAATGTCGAGAAGGTATTACAGGTTTAGGAAGTCATCCCAGCTCGTGGTGGTCTCCTGGCAATCCCGTTTCCACGCAGCATCTGTCAAGCTGGATTAAACGTGCCCTGCCACACGTTCCCTATTAGCCCCAATGGCAGCGCCCGGAGCTCTCCCGGCTCTGCCCCCGTTCTCCTGGTTGTCTTCAGGCTCCTGCTTGGAATTTGACCGGTGTCTTCACCCAGACCTGGTGTTTCTGGAGTCTCTTGAGCTAGAAGGATTGAACTACTCTCAATGTCGAGAAGGTTTGCAGGTTGAATTAGGTTTAGGAAGTCCTCCCAGCTCGTGATGGTCTCCTAGCAATCATCCAGACCTGATTTTTCTGGAGTCTCTTGAGCTAGAAGATTTTTAGGCTGCGTTCAGCCTGAAGGCAGCCTTCACCTTGCATTTCTGCCTAAGGGGAGTTATTGGGATACTAAGTAATATTGGGATACTACCAAAAAAATGAGAGACAAACAGGGCCAGGGTTTAGTCCTGGTTTTGTCTGTTTGCCACCCCTTTTCTCCTTCTAGCTCAGCTACTTGCTCTCAGATAATTTACAGTCAAAAGGAAGCGGGTGCCAGGGTGGTTTTTCCCCCTACAAATGTCCTCCCACAGCATCGTGCCGTGTTTTTACGAGGCGGGAAGTCGCTGCTGCCCTTCCCGGTCTGCCGGCCGTGGAGGGGAGGCAGCTGGGGGCGCCCGGCCGCTTCTTCCGCAAGTTTGTTCCCAGGCCTGGCTGCTTGCGCGAGTCCAACAGGTGATTTGTTGTTTTTTTCCCTTTTTTCTACCCAAAAGAAGCACTGGGACCTCAGCGACGCTATGGAGAGCCGCCCGTGAGCACAAATATGCGGTGCCCTCCCGGCCGCCCCGTTACTTCTGCTCCCCTCCCAGTTGCTGGGACTCCGAGTGCGTCTCCGGCCCTGCCGAACAAGGGCTCCTTGTTCCTGTGGGCTGGGAACGTCGTTCCCGTGGCTGGGATTGCTCCGGAGCCCAGTGCCTTCCCTCCCTGGCCCCTGGGTCACACAGCTCCGCTTTGCAGGGAAGGAGGGAACCAGTCGCCTCCAGTGCCAGCCGGGCAGGTAGCCGGTCCACTCTGGTGTCGCTCGTTACTTGGCTCTGGCTCATTTGAAAAACTAATTACTCTGAAAGCGAGCATGGAAATTCTGCCAGTTTGAAAGTGCAGTTTACTGGAGCTTTGCTGGAAAGCACACGGTTGTGGCACCCGGTCCTGGTTCCCTGTCAGGAGGATCGTGGCCGGCATGGCCACCAACTCCATGTTCCTCCGTTTGGGAACCGCCGTGCGGATGCGCTGCCTCCTGAATTGCAGTGCATCGTGAGCTGGATAAGTCACTGTGTGTCTGGGCTGAGTTTGAGTGCTCTTGAGGTTGTCATGGGCACGATTTGCACCTTAGATGAAGCTGAAGTCTTAAACGGGTCTCACCTCCATGGCGAGCAAGACCTTTCCCCATCACCACTGGTGGGATTCCAGCTAGCAAAGGCCCCGCGTGTAGGTTCTGTTTGAAGGTAGCAGCAGCAGCGTGGGGATGGTCGGTCGTGTTGGCTGGTGATGAAATGGAAAGGTTTTCCAAGAGCCCACCCGCGTCCGGCAGCAGCGGAGCTCCGCGTCTCCGGAGGGATCGAGGTGGAACGTTTGGGCTCGCGCCCGGCGCCCCCGGTTTGCGGGATTGCTTTTCCATATGGATGAATTTTCTCACACGGACTGAAACAGGTCAGTGCTCGTTAATGTGACACGGAGGTGACTGCATCTTGCACGGCCGCAGCGCTCGGTGGCAGCCCGGCTGGGTCTGCTCCGCTTGTTGAAGCCCAGTGAATACAAACCTGACTGCCTGGCCCATCCTAGCAACCCACAGATACATTTTATAATTATGCTAATCTAAGTAATTATTAATGTGCTTCCAAAATCAACCAGTAGCGGCTTTGTGCTGGATATTGCTGCTCTGCAAACACCCTCTACGGGGGGGCTGCAGGTCTTGCAAAATTCCTGTTAGAGCTTCAGCCATCCCCAAAATTTTAGGAGGAGGGAATTTTTCCAAGCTCTTAAAGCCGAAGTGCGGTCCAGTTGACTGTGTGCGTGTCCTTAGTTTATTTATATTTCGTCCTAAAAATAAAGCCTGTTAGGCAGCTGCCTGGCTGCAGGGATTAGGCGGGTGGTGCCTCTGCGTGGGGGGCGCTGGGGACATCGGGGTCGGCTCTGCGTGGGACCCGTGTCCCCAGCCCCGGTTTGGTGGCCGCAGAGTGTCCCGGGCTGGTGGAATGGGCCCATGTGTGCCCAAAACGTCCCGTGAGGAGGAATGGTGCCAGCCGTGGACGCGGAGCCTCGTAGCTTTGTCCTTGATATTTTAAAGAGCTCAGGAACGTTTTCAGGGATCTAAATTTAATCCTGCTTTTAGAAAATGCTCAGTGTACCCAGGCTCACATTTAGGATAATTACAGCCTTCTTTCATTTATTGGTGTTCAGCGAGGAACGCGTTGAGTGTCCTCTCATTTCCCCATTCCCTTTGCTTTGGTACTTAAATGAGTGCTGAAATTCAGGAAAAATGAGCTCCAAATAGGAATTTGAAGAGCGTTTTAGCTCTATAGCACGCAATGCATTCAGGCAGGTTTGTTGTTTGCGTCGCAGTCGCGTTTCCCTCCCGCGCCCGGCTCGGTGCGGAGCAGGTTTGGGGCAGGTCGGTGCCGGGGCCGCGTGGAGCGCTGGGAAGAGCGAGGAGCGCGGGCGGGAGCGAGGAAGCGGCTCCGCTCTGGACGTGGTTGGAGACACTCGGGGTGTCCGTGCGCGAGGAGAGCAGCCCTCCCCGCCGGGGTGTCCCCAGCCCGTCCCGCTGGGCTGCTCTCCACAGAAACACCAGGGAGGGCACGAGCAGCAGTGCAGACCCCTGCGTTTGAGCCCCGAGGTCCCTTCGTCTCTTACTGGTTAACATCTATAACAGCTCTTCTGGCCATAACGCTAATAAAGCCTTTCCATTAGTTCAGAGATTACAGGGATCTGCTGAAATAGAGGAGGGTGTTTGCAGGCCAGCCCAGGAGTGCAAAGCAGATGTGCACCCTAATAGGATGGATTTCGGCCACAAAAAGAGGGAGGAAGCTCTTTAGATCCATTATAGTTATGTAATCAAAGATCAAACCCATAAGCAGCATCCGTTTATTCCCGGCCTGTTGAGGTTCTCGCTCTTTGCACCCATCTGTTGTGGCCCGAGTTTGGATATAACTCTGGAAGCGAAATTATTGCAAGAAAAACAACCTGCTAATGTGTGTCCTGGGCACCTCCACCCTTCTGGAGACTCAGGGTTTTTGCCGTAATGATTTATTTCCAGTTGCTGAAGCACAACTTGTGGTGCTGCTCTTAGATTACCGGTTCGCTCCGGTGTTTTCTGCTGCTCTGATCTCCCGCCCCGTCGAGGCCTTCCCGCTGGCGCTGTTGGATCCACCCGGATCCAGGCCTTTCCCGTTGCAGGGCTTTCCCTGCTCCCTTCGTGCCGGCGACGCGGGCGCTCGGAGCGATCCCCTTTCCAGCTCGCTAACCCCGGCCCTGTCCATCCGATCCGCTGCTGACTCCCGTCTCAGGATAAGTCAATCCAGAAGGTTTTTTTATTAAGTCATCGTGTGCTCCTCATGGGCTCGAGACAGAGAGCTGCGTTTGTTTCCGTGTTTTCATGTTCCTTGTGTTTTGTCGTTTGGTTTCAAGCTTTCAAGCCACGTTTGTGTTGGATTTTCAGACCTTCCTCCGTTTACAGTGGAGACTGGGCTTCACTTACAGGATTTGCTGCATGCGTATGGAAGTGGCTGGTGCTGGCTTGGGATATTTTTTTCTTTCCCATGGCTTTTAGTGCCAGGAAATCGGAAGTTACTGTGGACATTGCAGTTCTTCTGTTGTATTCTCCCCTGTCCTGCTTGGACTCGCCCTGCTCGCTCGGCAGCATCGGGGCTCCAGGGCTCTGATTTACGGTCTCCAACATTCCTCGAAGCCGGCAGATAAGACGCCGGATCGCCGGAGCTTTCACCTAAAAGCACAACCTATTTCACAGCTGTCCAAAAGCTGTTATTTATTTGTGCCATTAAGCGCTGCCCAGTTACCTGTGTCTGCTGAACGTGAAGGATTAGGAAGGAAAATTCCTTTTGTGTAGCCTTCCTGGCAAAAACAGGACTGCAAACTTTGTGGGTCCTTTGGAATATTCTTCCTCTCTTAATTTTTGAAGGTATATTTATGGAAAGCTTGTGGCAAAAGAATCCTAGTGTCCCATTTTCAAGGCCATTTGCTTGCATTTTTTATTACCAAAAAACCCCCCTTTGGCTGCTCTCCTTTTAAGCAGGCTGCATCTTCAGAGACATGGAGCCGAGAGCGTTCGTGGCTTTTTTATTTATGCCATTAACCGTAAGCGTTTGTCTGCAATCTTATTTGTGCTCTGCTGGCCGTAGCTGTGATTAAAGCCCTTGGCCCGTGCAGACACCTAGTAAATCTCTCTCCGTTTGGACTTCAGTGCCCGAAAAGCTCTCCAAGTTTGCGGCACTTCCCTGTCGGAATTAAAGGCAGCAAATTCCAAGTGGGTAAAAGTTGAGCTGCTAAATCCTTTTCCTCGACAGGCAGCGGGTTTGGGGAAGGTCGAGCGAAGGCGTTTGTCTCGCGGGGATGAGGACAGAGCGAAACCCCTAATAATTAACAACAGCCCAACGGGGCTGCGGTGGCCTGGGGAGCTGGGGTGGCCTGGATGGGCCCGTGGGTGCCACACGGGGGTCACGTTGGTGCCACTCGTGTCACTGCCACGAGCCGCTCCAGCTGCTCCTTCCTGCGGCGCCAGCTCCACGCTCGTGTGCTCGGGGGCTACGAACGTCCGCAATAAACGTTGCACAATTAGGGGCCGAGCACTCCTGTATGGATATCCAGGATAGATTCAAAAAAAAAATCCCCCAAGACAAAAATAACCTTGGAACTAAGTGTCGCTAATTCTGATTTTGCCCAAACGTGTCTGTCCTGCACTTGGCTCTTGGAGGTGGGAGATGCCCATGGATTCGGTGTGGGTGGTCAGCGGTGCAGCAAATTGGGTCGTCTGTCTAAATTTGTCTGCACCTGAATTCTGTGCCGTTGGTGCCGGGTAAAGCAATCCCGGAGGGATTCCGTAACTCTCCGCTCCGTTTCCACGCTGGCGAAGGCCCCGGTTAAGGGATGGTGCCGCGCGGTGGCCCCGGGCTCTGCTCGTGGCCCTGGTTGCACTTGGGATGCTGCAGGGCTGCGAGTTTGCACCAATGCAAAACCCACCCTACGCTTTTCCAGCTGCGAGTCGTGAGTCTGAATGGGAATTTCGAGGAGCAGCAAGTTTAGGGGTGCTGAGGTTTGAGCGTCTCCCGGATTCTGGGATTTATGGCTTTCCCGTTACCAGAAAGCTCTATTTAAAATAACATCCCTTTACTGTAGCCTCAGGCTGAGCCCTGAAGCGCCCCCGAGCCAGGACAGAGCTGGGAAATGGAGATGGGCTCCCTTCCAGCTTGTACATTATCAGATGAATAATTAACTGCAGTCTAATTGCAAATCCTGATTAGTTTCTTACAACTGCAGCAGCCTCGGGATCACTCTGGTGTAGCTGGAGCCCGACCTGGAGGCCTCGGCGTCGCCGCTGGTGTGAGCGGGGCAGGAGCTTCACTTTGGGAACCCCGGTTATGTCTGGAGAGCCGCACGCCAAAAAGCACCCAAAACGTGGGCTTTGAAACCAAAAGATAAGGCCCTGCCAAAGCCAGGCCTTTTCCACCTGTGAATTACCGTGGGGAGGCCTGTGCACGCTGCTTTTCCTGTGCGTGGCCCAGGGTTTAGGATCTGTGTTCCGGGTGGTGATTGGCGAGTTGTTTTGTTTGCAGTTTGGGGGGTTTTGGCCAGTTTTGTATCCTTGCTGTGGAATCGCTCGATGGACTTTGCTTTGCCGTAGCCCGCAGTATGGTTTCTCAGGGAAGCGCCGTGTCGGGAGGCCGGTGCTTTGCAGCTACCCTTGAGCATGGCAGAACCAGTGATCCATAATGGAATATGTGGAGCTTTCTATCCAACGACCAGCAAATAACACTCAGACACGTTCGAATAACGGGAATAACTGGAAAACACTGATACTAAAATTGCAACCCGTATTTTTCTTGGTAAAAACGCCCCGTGAGCGATGGCCAAAGCGAACAGTTGCTAACGAAACATGTTTGTGTTCCCGCGTAGGTGACGCCGAGCAGGAGCTGGGACCCCCTCCGTCCGTCGATGAGGCAGCGAATACACTCATGACTCGCCTGGGCTTCCTGCTGGGAGAGAAAGTCACGGAGGTTCAGCCAGGGCCGCAGTACAGCATGGAGGTGCAGGATGACAACCAGGTACAAGACGCACCGGCCTGGCCGTGCTTTGCTTGCAGGAGCTCTATGGGTTCTGCCTAAAATGCAGCGCGTGGGGTAGGGGTTATTCCCTAATTATCTGGCAGCCGGGTGTCTCATCACGGAGAGGTAATGGCTGTGGAGATCCCTTATCCCATTACAGTGGGAGTCATCACCCCGCTCCCGCAGTCCGTGTTTCAGGAATGAGCTGCCGCTGGGCGAAACGGGGGCTGTTGTTTTCCTGTTGCTGAAGGAGTGGGTGGCGTCGCTAATCAGATTATAGAGATCAAAATAATCCGGACTTCCACGTCACCTTGGGTGTTAGAAAGGCTTCCAAAGCCTTTTAGAGGTTTTACGTGAAGTCTTGCAAGTCCTCGAGGAGGAACAGGTAAATAGCAATCCTCACATTCCCGTGTTTGCCCAAGGCGATGATTTCATGCTTCGAAATGGCTACAGAAACCAAATCATAAAATCTTTGTTGTGACAAAGCTTGTTAAATCCGCTCTGACTGAAAGCAGACTAGCAATGAGACCATGGTTCTGACCAAAGCGTCAATTTTGGAGGAAACTGCCTGAATCTCTCCTTCCTTCTCCAGCCCTCTGCTTGCACCGATGACAATACAGTGAGAGTGAAAACAAGACACCATTTTTTCATTTTTTCCGTTGACAATTCAGAGGGGCTGAATTAAGGTCCTGAATTCCCTACAAAAGGTCCATGGAAAGCGGCAGCCAAGAAGATGGCTCCGTGCATCCAAGCTAAACGTTGGGAGGGCCGGGAGCACCTGGTCTGCGTTTCTCCTCCCCAGCCGCGTGCTGCCTCCCGTTCCCTCCTTCCTTCCTTCCTTCCAGGACACCGAGTGTGTCTGCGCAAGTGTGTAGGAATAAATGAAAGAGCAGGAGGAGAATCAGCCATTGTACTCAGGAGAACCCCCTCTGAATGGCAGGAAATGGGGCGTTTTTCTAATCCATTGGCTGGGAATGCTTTGAGTCTTGCTTATCCGTGAGTGCCTGGCTGGCCTTGGAGCAAGAGCCTTTTCACGTCATTATTGTGTCCTATACTGCCTTGGTACTGTCAAAGTAACATACACGTCCTAGCGGCCTTTCCCCTCCTCTCAAAGGTTCAAAAAGTCTTCAAAATATGCAGAATTTTGCCCCGGGTATATTTATTTTTGAGTCGCATGGGTCATATTGCTGAAATAGTTAATTCCCTGCGTGCTGAACTGTTTTGTCGTCCATCATCTTTGCAGGCTAAAGGGTTCATATGCAGCAAGCTGGAGAGGCAAGAAATGAGCTTTTGTAAAACTTCTGCTCTTTAGCACATTCATTAAGCTTTTGATGATTTCATTCATTTTTTTAAAGCAAGTTGGGGTGGATTTGAGATGTACTTTGCTATACATTGTGCTGGAAAATGTACTTTTAACAGGCACATATTTGAGCTGAATACTTCAAAGCCCAGCAGAGCTTTCTGCTATAAATGGTTCCTTTTGTTGTTGCCTTTTGAAAAAAAAAATTAAAATCCCATCTTTTCTCAAAAGTAAAAGATGTCTTTGGAGAATAAATAAAAGAAAAAATCTTGAGAGAAACACAGAGAGTTGTGCTCCAAAATAGATTGATATCTTAGGCTATGTGCTAATTTTTGCATGAAAAAAAAGTTCTACTGGGTCTTTGAATGCTATTCATGTGCTGGGGAAGATAAAGACGAGCTGATTCCTCAATTACCGAGTTAATTCTTTCCTTTCTTTGGGAGCATCTCCTGCTGTCAGTGCTTGCCTGGAAGCACAGGCTATTTTAGGCTGGAAATGACCTCTTGGAGATCATCTGATCCAAGCTCCTGCTCAAAGCAGGGCCAACTCGGCCGCGGCGCTCGGGCTTTATCGGAGTTCTGGAAATCTGGGGAATGTGGGTGGCCTCTTCCAGGGCTCGAGGACTCCGGCTTTGAGGGACTTCTTTTACAGCCAGCAGAACATTCCTGTGCTGCAGCCTGTGCCTGGAGCCGCTCGCCCTTTCCCTTTGCACTTCTGCAAAGAGTCTTCCCCGGGTTCCCTTAGGAGAGAGGAAGGTCTCAACCAGAGCTGGGTGCAGTTGAGACTTCTCTTTTCCAGGCTGTATCAGCCACCCCCTTGGGTCTTTCCCAACGCTCCTCCAACGGGCCTAGAGCCTCTCCTTGGGCTGTCTCCATTGCCAGGTTCCCCTGCAGGGAGCCCAAGCAGCACCTGGGCTTCCTTCTCCTTTCCCCTCGTGGACTTGGCCACCAGGAGCAGACATCCTTTCTTACCAGTGGGACTTGATGATCCCAAGGGTTAAATAAAGCCATAACGATTCAGCGATCCTTGGTGCAGCTCCAACCACATCTGCCTGCACCTGGGTGTCCACCATCCACCACGAGCTCTTTCCAGAGCTGGGATGTTCTCGGATGTGCTCCAACATGAAGCTCATTCTGCTCCACGGCATGCAGATCTCCTGAACACCTCCCTGGCTCTCCTTCCCAGGCTGAATTTTTCCAGCTCCCCTGCATAAACCACTACCGAAAATCATGCAGAAGCCCTTCCTGGGATTTGTGAAGATTAATCCCTCCACTAATCATCGATTAATTAAAATCCGATTGAGACTTTTGACTGTTGGGCTTGCACTTGAATTTAAAAATGAGAGCAGTTTGCTGGGTTTTAATTCGTTAATTTACATGGTCTGAGCAAAGCAAATGTTCTTTGTGCAGAAAGCCGGGCCTAGGCTGCTGCTTATTATTCTAACCACGCGTCGCCTTCTGAAGCGAGAAAATAATTATTTGCAATCTCACCAGTGCTGAGCTGAAGTGAAGATAAGGAATAGAGGTGTTTTCACTAAAACTGCCCAAATCTGTAAATCTGGCACATCGCATTTCCATTCAATTGCTTTATTTTGAATATGTCAAAGGATACATTTTCTAATCCAGATTGCTGTGAAATTGCATGTTTTATGTGCAGCCTCTTCCTTAATCATGGCTGCCTTAATGAGAGATCGCAAATGCCAAAGAATAAATCCTTTTGCTCCTACCTCCAGAAACCTTTTTTAACCGTGGGGGCTGCCAGCGAAGCCCAAAGGACAATGAGACTGTGACAGAACAGTTTAATTTTTCCAGGCTTCGTGAAAATGTGACAGACGAAGCAACAGCAATAATAATACAGGATGTTCCGTCAATGGAAATTTATATTTAAAACTTGCACAGAGGAGCATTTTTCTATATCAATACAAAAATAAAACATGTCAATCAACGCCAAGTGATATTTGTGATATTTGGTACTTTTCAGTCGCAACTAACTTCTTCATTAATAACACTACAAATAAATATAGAAGAATATCACTTTTTGGCATGATGGAAGGACGATGTTATCAGCTGGAAGCAAGATGAGCGTACCAGTCTTGCACTGAATTTTAATTTGCTGTAAATGTAATTTTTCTGCGTTTTAAGGCCTTTGAATGTTATTTTGTTAGTATTGGGATTGGCTTCAGCAGG